AAACAGGCTGCTTTTCAAACAAAAACATCTCCTACATGAAAGGTTTGTAAAACTTCGTTGAGGATTCCATCAACACTGAAAGTTCCTTCAATTTCCGACAAGAAAAATATTGAATGCTAGTCTACAGAAAATCTTTCTTGAGGATTTAATTTACTTTTTTTTTTTGGTTCATATATTGCAGTAATAACCAGACATATAAATGACGATCCGCTTATTTGACATAAAATGTCAACGTTCGGTTATATTAAACTTTTGAAGCGATTTCTCGATATGTCATCGTCAGATCAGTATAGTCAACTTTTTACCCCATTTTCAAATGCTTGATGCTTAGATTCGTGTAAACCAAATGCATTACCAAGATATTTTTCGATGTAATTTTTTCTGGGAAAAATTGTGTACCTCAGATTTATTCTTAATATTATCATATTAATTTTCTGTAACCATCGCGGTTCGTAGAAAATTGGCCATGTGTAGCACAGATCAGAATGGTACGTGTATAAAAATACAGTATATCCGATCTGGTTTTGGTTCAAATCTCAACTCACTTTCGATCACGTGGGCGGGTATTAAACGCATTGGTGGATTTTGTGGTCTTTCATTGACTGGAAGGCAGGAGGGGTGTAACGCCAACTGGACCTTGGACAGGCGTTTTTTTTTTTCCGATCTTGTAATACGACGGATAATCGCCTAGGCAAAAGCTTTCAAGATCTGATGCCCCCGTACACTCCATGACCTGCAAAAATTGCGCCGTTTCCGCATCGTCGGCGGCAACATTATCATAAAATATTCAGTTCTTTCTTGCCCTTCCAGTTGCGAGTCCCGTTCGAGGTCAGGTTCGCAGAAAGCAAATCAATCAACTTGGCCGTCGTCGTCTTTGGCACATGCGCGAGCCGATTGATCGATTGATTCAACGTGACGCACATATATACCTTCAAATAACGAGGTCGCTGCATTTACTGCACGCTCTTCTTCATTTTTTAATAATAAATTCCGCATTTTCATCACAGGTACTTTCAGAACGTTTTTTCCCGGACGTTCAGGTTTATCAATCAGGTAAATTGGTAAAATAATCCAGGTCATATAAGGTCGAGGGTGTTGAGTCCTGCTGCTAGTGCACCCGCCCATAATTTGCGTAACCACCTAAAACACCAGAAAGTAACTGACCTTCCGTCCTCCCCACATTGCGGTTGACCTGGAACCTGTCCGCAAAAAAAAAAAGGCTAGAACATTATGCCCGGATAATCGCCTAGGCAAAGCTTTCAAGATCTGATGCCCCCCGTACACTCCATGACCTGCAAAAATTGCGCCGTTTCCGCATCGTCGGCGGCAACATTATCATAAAATATTCAGCAAAAAGGCCGACGTTCTTTCTTGCCCTTCCAGTTGCGAGTCCCGTTCGAGGTCAGGTTCGCAGAAAGCAAATCAATCAACTTGGCCGTCGTCGTCGTTGGCACATGCGCGAGCCGATTGATCGATTGATTCAACGTGACGCACATATATACCTTCAAATAACGAGGTCGCTGCATTTACTGCACGCTCTTCTTCATTTTTTTAAATAATAAATTCCGCATTTTCATCACAGGTACTTTCAGAACGTTTTTTCCCGGACGTTCAGGTTTATCAATCAGGTAAATTGGTAAAATAATCCAGGTCATATAAGGTCGAGGGTGTTGAGTCCTGCTCTGGAACGTTTTTTTGTTGCCCTGATTCCGCCGCCACGGTCCAAATCCGGCAATGCCTGCAGTCTGGTTGGTTTTCGCATCGAGTCCATGGGATTAATGTTGTACCCGTTTGCTAAAAATTGGCGAACACACTTGATGCATGAAGACCTTTTTTTTAGAAAAAAATAGTACTTACTGGAAAACCAGTTATTGACGCCGACATTAGAGGTTCCGCCCCAGGAGTTGGAACTATTCGGTTGATCCCAAGACCCGTTGAGACTGCAGGAATTGCTCAGGTTTCCGTTGACAAGCATTTCGGGAGAAAGACTGATTGTCTGGTTCAAGACACTCGTTGATGATGATTTATTTTTTGACAAATCACCTAAAATTAAAATATCAGAAATATTAGTGTTTTTCGAAAATTCCCCGACGAAGACCTCCATCATTTTTTTTAATTGGGAAGCCACTATAATTAAAGAAGAACGAAACTCAAGAATGAATTTTAGATGACTTGGTCCAAAAAGATAGATTTTACCATCAAAATATTTTGAACGATTCTAAAAATTGATTCCTTTTTCAAAGAAAGGTAGAAATTTTTACGGAAAAAAATTGAAAATTTAGAAATGCTCACATGTTTGAGACATGAAAGTCTGGATGAGCTGCCGTTATGAATTTAATTATTCTCGATTTAATTTGAATTTTAAAAATGTTCGAACCAGCTGGAAATATGACTTGAAATAAAATATGCTTAAAATACGTTGGCTATTTTAAAATGACTCAATTGCTTGGAACTAAGAATGCCCAAGAAAATCGACTTTCGACAGCCACAATCTTAAAAGAGAGAACTTACATCTTTTGCCACATATTTTTTTAATATTTGTATTCGTAAACGTATTACAGTTCCATCGAAATTTTCTATCAGCCGGAAGATAAGTGACTGAGCTTCAATTCAATTATTTATACATGCTGCCGCAAATAATTCAAGAAATAACTTTAAAAAGCAGTTTATGTGTTCGTGGTTCACTCAGATCTCGTGGTGCACTCATAGAAGACTTAAATAACTAACTACGTCTGACAACAACAAAAAATGCTGCATGCAAACGACTTACATTCAATTGTGACGCTTTTGTGAGTTTTTGTGCATCCCATCTATAATCGAATATAATGATGGTGATTTATGAAAAGTCTATCAGTGCGAATACTCTACTTCGATACGATTTCTTCTCGAATCAGAATCTACCACAATTCAGGATCATTATTACCTGCAGCCATAACCCCGAAGTTGACCGCTTCTCAGACCAAAGAACAGCAAGAAATGTTCGTGCAGAGATGGAAAGAAGAGAACAAGGCAGTATTAATTGATGATACTCATGACCGATCATTCAAATGTGTTCACGTGATGATCTAATCTTTTCAGACAAAGCCTTGAACAAAAAACATTCTTCTAGTTTCCAATGAATGAAGAAAATAAACATGTTTTCGCGGAAAATAAGCCGACAGACAAAGGCTCACCTCGCCAACTGGGTCCATTCACGTGTGAATCCTTTCTGGCTTTCTCGAGAAGTTTTGCTTGTCGCGTCGATTTTGAAAAATACGTTCCAGCAATGTTTTCTTCTTGGCCTCGTTCCAATTTCTGTGAAAATCAATCCAAATCTTTTACACTTTCCGAATAAAATGACAAAGCATGATCCCCTCCTCGAACTCTTCACTAAAATAAAAGGAAAACATGTTGCATTTCAGTGCGCGTATTTGTTGTAAGACCTTTTTGCGTGCAGGTGAATTGAAACAATAAAGAAGTGCTTCATTGAAAACTCTTGCAAATCATTGCTCAAACAAAGATAAGAAAAAGTGCTTCATGTGGTGGGGGACAGAAAATTTCATCGCAATATTTTTTCGTATTTCGAAAAATTCCCCTACTTTCTCGCTAAAATATTAATAATGAATAGAAGTCTCCCGAATAAAAGAAGATGAATACAAAGGAAAGATGTAAGCGCACGAAAACCCCAGGGGTTTCAGGGGTATCACGTCCTCAACGAGGTACGATTTAGGAAGAATCCAATGCAATGGCGAAATATTCACTCGCTGTACAAAAGGCCCTTGGAAACTGGAATATTCGAAATGTCTGCCCTCAATATAATTTAATTTAAGCTATGAAGATCGAAAAACGCTCGGGTAAATCTCAAAAAAGAGAGTTAGGCGCTTAAGAAAAGGAAACAATAAGTTTGCCGATTCGAACACTTACCACCTCATTAATAAAACTGAAAATAAAATCACAAATAATTTCCCTGTAAATCCAAGAAGATTTGTATTTCATCCTTTCCTTGTTCACGTATAGTACTCATTTTTCCATAGAGATGCAGTTAATTTTCTTCAACTTTCCGGCACCAGCCAATCTCAAAATAAATTGGCAAACCCTTTTTGATCTTCTCTATATAGGCGGAAAATATTTTGGCAGTTTGAATACGCGTCAGGATTTCATTCTGTTCTACTGCATTATTCCTCTTTCCTATGGTGACAAGCTTTAAAAAAAATGCATCGAAAATAGTATTCTCAAAATTTTCACGAATTTTTTTTTTAGGTCAGTGGCAGAGTGAATATAATCCTGCTCGCAGAGGTATAGCAATTGAATACCACGTAAGTCATCTCTCACCCCCACCAGCATCGTCATACACTTACTTGCTGCAAAATTTTCTCGTCATCCGACTCGCAGGAATAACCCGCAGACCATTCTGGAGGAGATGAGTCTTGCGAGTCGCTCGAATCGACCAGAATGTTCTCCGAGTTCAAGTTACTGCGCAGTAAACTGCAACGCGACACCCGCCCATTGTTGTTGGAGATGCGGAAGCGAAGCTCGTCACTCGTGCCACTGCTGCCACTTTGTTGCCCATTCGACACCGACGACGGCGGTCTTCGATAGCGGCCGACAGCGTTCGACACCACAGTGCTACCGCTGCTTTGCTGCGAGCCCGGACCGAGACCTGACATCGCCAGCATTTTGAATGAAAACTAGTCCTAAGTAATCCTGGTCCTATTTTTATAATCCCCTTGCACTCAGACCAAGCGTGTCTCGAGAAACGTTCCTCCTTTTCTCTACAGCGATTTCATTTTCAAGAAATCTTATCAATATTTTATGGAGCACGGTTTAGAAATGAAGGATTTTTGTTAATTAGTTCACTCTTTGCGATCACTTAAAGGAAGTACTGTATATCATATATGCAAGAAAACTTTGGGGGAAGACCAAAAACGAAGCAAAAAATATATAAGGTATCATACGAAAGTCCGTAATTCAAGCTCAAAGTCATGGAATGAGTCAATTAGCATACTTTCTGGATATTTTTGGCGGCGAAGATGAAAACCATGAATGAAATGCACAACATTTTTGCATTAATTTAAGCGGAATGGGCGATGCGTTAGAAAAGTTGCATGGAATGTACTGTTGAGAAATTGAAAGTGCGATTATCTCTGTTGGAAATCATCAAGGCAGGGAATTAATATTTTTCCCAAAAGCATACTTCTTGCAAAATGAAGAAGCTAATTATATTTGAGATGGACATTGATGGCAACGATAAAGAAGTAGAATACATTGTTACCTCAACTTGGCGGAAAAACTATAGTGCTCTAAAATTCGCAATAAATACTATAAATTGTTTATAATGGAATATCAAATACAAATCGCCCCATTTATATCGATGTCCTCCAGGAAACGATTATTATTGTAATATTTAAATTGTTGTGAACAGAGCTCAATCGTACTTTAATTTATAGCATAATCAGTCCTTCTGCCCGATGACTATTATTAGACCACGAACTCTCACGATTAATCTTCCTTTAGTGATAAAAGAGCTCAAAAATAACTTCCTCGTTTTGAAACTTTCGCTTTTTTTAGAAATTAAAAAATATATAATATTTTTTCTTCCGTCACCATGTTTCTGTATAGAAGAGATAAAACAAGTTTGTAACTTGAAAAAACTATAGATTGCAAGGTTCACGTCATGAAAAGGTAAGAACTGAAATTCGCCAACTGCGTCCAAAAAAAAAAATGCCAAGGATGCATCGAACTTCGTTTTGATTAGTATTTCCAACGAAGAAAATGACGATCGAATGCGTTTAAATTTTCAGGAAATTCAATTAGACATTTCCTGATGAATGAGGTCACCATCCGTGAGTCGTTGTCTGATGCGCTGAACTCGCTGAAGGAAGCCGCATAGTAAATCTTTCAGCTGCACGTTCTTCCTCTTTTTTTTGCCATGGGTATATGTACATCACGACATCGAAAACTTATCAACATACGAGAAAGAAAACTTTCCTAATCAGTGGTTTCATTCATAATTTACGAGGTTCGCTCAATCATGAATTATGCATTGGTCACCACGTGTTGAGAATAATGGGGGGATGATGAATGTGCAACACATCGAATATGAAACATAAACGCCTAATGCATGAACGTCATGCTGGTTGCAATTAGTGAACAACAAAAACAAACCAGTGCGCTTTCACTCAACATCCACACATGTTGTATGAGGTAAAACGTGGCCTTTATTTTTGTGTTGAATTTCCTCCAATATCCCATGAACACAATTTTATATTTTTGGTCATACAAAATAACAATTTCTTCTTCTTGAATGCTGCAGTGACGAGGATATTTTGTGCTGGATCGCGCGGATTTAAATTTAGAAAATACTAGCTCAATTTTTCCTCAAAATATTATCTTCAATCAATATTATAATAGCTGAATATGTATTTTTAATGAAGACACACATATACTCCATTTGACTCAGAAAACGTGTCCTTGAATTTTCATTTAAAATTTCGTGAAGTATTCACAAGTTTAATCTTCTTATTGCAAATCGCATCACAATGCATTTAAATTTCGGCTCTAAGTCGTGATTGCGCATGAATTTCACTGGTAACGGTTTATTTGATTGATTTAAATAAAATTTAGCATTTATTCTAATTTATTCGCAATATTTTCGAGGTGGGATATCCAAAGGTTCATTCAGTTTTACGCGGAGTTTATGAAGGTGGCAGGTATTTATTTTCTTTGCCTTTCGTTTAATTTACTCATGATTTGCCGCAATTTAGGCTGAAAGTTACCCTCAAATATTGGAAATCTAATTGAGATTACATTCATTTTTTGTTTTGCAAAGTCGACGTGTGAGTTAGTTGGGGTGTTCATCCAAAATAATCTGCTTCGATTTGAGTCGCTCCTTATAATACTGAGATGATGACGTATACTGAGGTGGGTTTTTTGCATAAATTTGCACAACATTCATATGTGAATTCTTTCCCAGTGGAAGAAGGACGTTAAAAATTTGCTGATCCACAGAACACACGATTGGGGAATCGCACCTTGAGCAGCAAAGTGTCCTCGTCCTCGTCACTGGAGTAAGCCAGCTTTGCAGGGGCAGTAACGCTCGGCTTGCGTCTGCGAGTGCTCAGGTCATCAGACACCGACCTCTCCGGCACCTCTACTGATGCTCCACCGGCAGCTGCCATTTAGCAATTTTTAATCGTTCAAAACTCTTTTTTTCACATTCACGTACGTCGTCATATGTCGTCACATATTTAAAACAAAAAATGCCTCAACCGATAAAAACCCGAAATTCGTCACCCAGGGATATGGCAGAGAAACTCACCGGCTTTTGGCAATTTGGTCCGCGTAATAATCATTTCCGGTAGTTTCCATCTTTGTGTCTCGTCTTCCCAGAAGGCTTCCTGTTTTATTTTCTCGATGTTGCTGTGGATTTCAACGCATTTTTATCGGCAGAAACTGCATGATATATATATATACAGCACTGTACCATGTTTCCTCGAACGAATCAGGTGCTGGTCTAATATTATTATTTTTTTTAGCGATGGCCTCATTTTTCAATTTCAAATGAGAAGGACGCGAAATTCCCTGGAGTGAGGATGAATAGTGTCGATTGCACAAATATTCCGTGAAATTTTGATTTTCCAACATATTTAGACCGATTCGTGACAATAGAACTTTGGGGAATTCGGATGATAATTTTATTCGGCAGTCGCTCAATTTTATTGGATTGAATTTCCCGAGGGGGAAAATGCAAAATTTCTCGAGATTCCATTTTTATTAAACCATCGAGGAATATTTGTAAAGGGGGACACAGAAAATTTAAATAGGGTTATTTGATGACCGTGCCTTTTTTTAATGGGAAACTGGCTATACTGTATTTTTAAACTGAACTAACCTGTAATTTGACTCCTTTTTAATAGCAGGCTGAGCTCGATCAAGGATTTGCTGTAGAAGCTTGATCTGCTGATCTTGCTTTCGAATTGTTTCCAAATAATCCGTTCGATCTGATTCAAACTCGGAAGTAAGGTCCGAGATTTCTTGCTCGAGAACTTTTACCTTTTTTTTTATACCAAAAAAAGAAGAGCTATTAGCATATTTTTGCCTTTTTCATACAGTGTTGGGAAATTCTTACCCGATTTTTGTACTTTTTTGCGAGCTCGGTCTTGGATTTAACTTCTTCGTTGATGTCATCGTAGACCTTGGCGAGAACGGCTGCATCGTCATTGTCTTGGCTGACAGCATTCAAAACTGCTGCCAAAGTTTCCATACGTCTTTCGGCGTTTTTGCGACGAGTGACACGCTTGTTTTTCAGCTCCACGTCGTTTGCTTTTTCTCCTCCCACCATTTGTTTCTCAAGATTTTTTAATCTGGGCAACGAGATTTTAAAATGCTCAAAATGACTCGAGAGAAGATATTAAAGTGAATCGCAGGTTACCTCTGAATGGCTTCGGCTTTCTCGGGATCCAGGTTCTTCGCCAATTTTTGCACTATAGATCTGTTGAATGTACGTTCATACATTATTTCGTAGAAGAAATGGAGAATGAAAAAACTTACGCTTGTTGACCGAGTCCAGCACTCATTGCTCTCGTGACTCCTGCATTGCTTGCATTTGCCTCGATCTGAAAATTTTCAGAAATTGAAAAAAAAACATCGAATAATGTGAGAGTTGATAATACGAGCACCTTTTGATTCAGCTCTTTAAGCTGCTGCTCATATTTGCGCTTGACGGCTTCGACCTCTTCTTGGTTCGATTGTCCTGGTTTATTTTGCTGGGCTTTGGCTTGCTGAAGTTGTTTTTGCATATCAGTCATTTTCTGCTCGTATTCCCTACGCACTTTTTCTCGTTCGGCTTCCAAAGCTTTCTCGTCAGGTACTACAACTGCAAATAAAATAAGCAGTTCAGTTTTACTGTATAGAGAGTTTTGAATTTGAAATTAAATACTGTATCTTCCTACTTTGTTTGGAAATTTGAACGGCGCCGTTCGAGTCCAGCATGGCGCGCAATTTTTGGATCTCTTCTTGGTACTCTCGCAACATTGCATCTTTCGGATCTTCGTTGATTTTCGGTTTATTCTTGATATTTTTGGCTCGATTTGCGTATCTGAGAGTCGATAGTGTTTCTTCGTAGTTGTTGTCGGCGGGAGACAGACATGCGACCATTAGTGTTTTCGTGTTGCCTCCCAAGGAATCCTGGAAGTTTATCGAACCGAAATCATGTATAGACACACGGTACACAATTTTTTAAAATTGCGCAAAAAAATCTCTCTGTCTAAAACTGACCTGAAGAAGACGCGTCAATTTGGAATCTCGATAGGGTATATGTTTCGATTTTCCGTCGACCAACGCTGATATCACATTTCCCAAAGCAGAAAGGGACAGGTTTATTTTGGTAGCTTCTTTCAACCGATCCCCGGTAGCACCTAAAAGAAACATAAGAAATAAAACCATTCCAGATCAATAAAATAAATTTATTAAATTATTCAAATCACCAGTTTTGGCTTGTCGTTCACTTCCGGCCAAATCGACAAGGTTGAGTTTGCCTTGACGAATGTGTTCAGACCCATCTTCGTTCACAGTCATCATCTCCAACATGATGGTGAAAATCGAATGAGATCTTGAAGAGTCCGCATTCATCAATGTTGCGCCTGTGCTTCTATTGTTCCAGCCACGGTCCATGAGGGATTCGCATTCATGTACATTATGAACGGGATGCTTCGACAGCTCTTCAACAAGAACAAATCAGAACATAAATGAATTTCCAGAACATTCAGGGGTTAATGCACAATATTTTTAACTCAGAAATATCTTACAAATAATTGTAGACGGCCGCCTGTTCTACGAATTATGATTTTATTCCGTGCTCAGCAATTTTTTTTTTTTGAAGATCAATTTGTACGATGTATTCCAATAAAACAAAAAGTGGTTGTAATATTCATGCATGTTTGCCATTTACGCGAGTAAAATTTGCAGAAAAGCTGGTCTGCGCCGCCAGTGTAATTTTTCTCTCATTTTTTCTCTCGCCTGCAGCGAACAAATCACAGACAAAATTTTTTGAGGAAATTTGGAAAACTATGAACTCTTTCACTATGAAGTCTCAAAAATTCAAATAATGATTCTGCCGCGGGCTGACTTCAATTCGATGTTCAGCACGCGAAAATAAGAACATCACTTCAATGCAGATACTCCTTGAAAAACCCAAGAAAAATCAAGTTAGAAAATTATTGTCCAGTAGATGTTTTTGTATTCGTGCTAATATTTCCCGAGACTTCGCATAGATAAACATTGAATTAAAATTCCGGAGATGGTGTAATAAAATAAAAATTATCACATTTGCAAAAAAAATTGCGCACGAGCTGAGTGTTCGTCCAATTTTACAGTCGATCGTCATTTTTTTTTTTCAAGCTATATATACTTTTGATGAACTAGTCTGCTTTCCTTTAGGCGGTTTTTGTTCGATCGTACCTGGCGCTCTGTAGTACAGAATACCGCAAATATGAATGTGGTTCATTTTCAAAGCATCCTGAGGTTTCACTGTTCATCAAATACCCATTAGAACCACTCATACAACACTGGCCAAGACGGGGGAAAACGCGTTTTTGGGTCAAGGTTACTGGAGCAACATTAGCAGGCTTTTCAGGATTGCGCTGCAGTTAGTTGTTGTGCCAGCACGTGGCTGCAATAAGCCAATGCTGCATGGGATCGATCATACCCACCTCGCTTCCGATCTGGGTAAAGCTTAAGAAAGGCGAAGAGTATTTAGAACCCGGGTGCTTGAAGCTTATGATCCCCAGCACTGCTGCAATCGCATGTGCTGGACGGTGCGTGTCAGGCTGTCATTATTATCACGGAAAGATTTTCTTTTCCTCTGTTCATTTTTGCAGGGTCTTTGCGAATTGTGGGGGAGAGAGAGAGACGAGAGAAGGCTTTGATGAAAGGAGAACCTCACGGGTGAAATGAAATCATACATGGAACGATCGAGTCACGCCATACTCATTTGCACGAAGTGCAAGACTTTCGCTTCTCAAAAAAATGTAATTTTCTTTTTTCAATAGCATACAGTATCTTGAGTTGCTCATTTTTTGAAGTTTTCAATATAATGAGACCGGGTGAAGCAATGGAAGCTATTTGAAATTCATGTAAAGCTTAGCATATTTTTTCATAGCTCTACAACGATTTCCTCTGTACAACCAATTTTTCCGATATAGGTTTCTTTCTCTCTGTGTAATATGAGTTCTCTGCTACGAAATAGTCTCTTAAAAAAATTTTCTGGTCTTTTGAGATTATGCTTTGTGGAAAGAGAGTTCACCTGTATTTTTCCATCTTCCGAATCAGCAATAAAACGCCATAAGACTTTCTGCTTGTAACATTAAAATAATACATGCTCCTGCACTTTCCAGACAATTTTTATATATAGTCATGCAAAGTCTCTCTTCCGAAATTTACTAGACGATTCTGCGTATGGTGCAAACAGGGTTTTTAGTATTTATCTTTATGTTTTCTCCATTGTTCGGTTTGGAATTGAACTTGTTGCTTTGATTAATTGGAATGTTCAGATGTGCCTCAAAATCTGAATTTATATTTTATATTCCTCCCCATTCATGCATCGTGAGAGAGAAAGCTAATGCAACTGAAGAAACCTCAACTCAATAATTGCTTCAGTCCTAGCTGAAGCAATGTTCTATAATACTCTGGATGTACGGGGAAATCTTGCCATTTGAAGAATTAATCTGAGAATTAAAATCTTCTAAGGATGATGATAACTACTTTCCAGCCTTTTTTTCTGCAGTTGCAGTTTATAACGAAAATCAAATTATGATTTTAATTTTTCATCATATTGATACTGCTGGGAAAATCCTACTTCAAAAGGGGATTTTAAAACATCACAAAGTAGTTTCGTTGTCTCAATAAAATATTTTCGTGAAAGATGATGAAAGATCCTTCGAACTTCACGCTCATCAAACTCAAGATGAATCTTGAATTCTACGATCTTTTCAAGCGTGAGCTTCAATTTCGGAAAGTAATGAAGCAGAGTTTACCCGTGGTTATCAGGATATATATTTGCATTTTAGGGGATGAACAGCTCTATGGGCTCGGAATGCATGCAGTTGTTAATCATGGAAACGTAGTCTACTTTCCTTTGCGGATGAAATGGGGAAAACACCTACGTTCACTGACTGGAAAAAGGTTTTTTTTCAACTGGAGCAGAATTCAAAAGACACTTTCTGATGATGATCACCTGGAATATAGACGCCTTTGTCTGGATGCTCTTTCAAGTCGAGTTTCTTCTTGATGTCTTTGCCCAGCAAATCCCTGATTTCCTCGTTGTAAATCTCCAGATAGGACGCATGCACGAGGTATTTGGAGTTGTCGGCTGTGGCGATCGCCTCGAAAATGTGTTCGAATGCTCGAGGAATGATCCCTCTTTGGGTAGGGGGATCCGAAATGCCCTGCATGGAAAAGCTTTTCCCACAACCCGTTTGCCCGTAGGCGAAAACTGTTCCATTGTATCCTTCTAAAACACCCTGCGGAATAAAAAAAAAAAGAGCTGCGCATAACGGCCGATACATTTTCAACAACAACTTAACATGCTTAGAATTAGAGCAACTTATTCTGGTCATAGCTGCAAAACATCTGCAGTAAATACTTTACCAAATTGACACTATTTCAAGCCACTTTTTCCTTCGTTTTCACTGAGATTATCCCCGTATAGTAGCGAGAAAATTCCTTGATTTCGCAGTTGGGATTTTCATAGAGTAAAATATAATTTGATGTAATTCGACCGCAGATTCCAGCAAAAAATAAAAATAAATTGTTCGAAGAATTGGCACAAATACAGCGAGTAATTTGAATAAGGCGAAAAATCGAAGATTACTTGTAGACAGGATTTTTGCATCATTTTTTATAATGAATTTTATGCATTCGGAATACTTAAATATTTTGCATCATTTTGCTGCATAGATATTCACCACTTATTTGTCACAGGAATGAAACATTTCTTGATTCAATGCCGCACAGAAAACTTAATTTTCCCCCTAAACCGAAATATCATTCCATGAAACTGCTGGTATGAAACAGGTATTTCGTTAGGCTGAAGTTTTTTTTTTATTGATACAGTATATAGGTACATTTTATTCCGATTCAACGAGAGAAAAAATTGGCATTTACTTTGTATCATGAGAAAGTACCTCAAAACTGATAAAAAGCTTCAAAAGTATCTATGACAAATCTTTAGGAAGCGTAAAAATAAAGCACGAAGTTAATTCAGGTGACTGCTGAAAATCATACAGTGTACAAAACCAGTACCCATGAAAGCCCCAGGAAAAATGATCGCTTGAGACCACAGGTTATGGGATGTATCCAAAATGGCACTTGACAGAAGGAAATAAATCCTTCGATTATAAAATAGAATTGATATACTGTACCTCCACGAGAGGAGAAGCAATGTCGTTGTAAATTGCTTCTGTGGTGGAATTTACGAAGTAGACCCCATCAAAGCTGAAGTTCTTGGGCGGAGAATGAGCGTCACTCGGATTCACGATCGAACATTGCATTATTTTCTGGTCCATGGAAACCACCGTCTGGAATTTCGCCATCACAAGAAAAAGTACAATAAAAGGCAGAAGCAAAATTTTCAGAGTAAGCTGCATGAAATTCATAGCAATCAAAAGGAAAAATATTGCAACACGAGAAAAAAATTTATCTCATAGCTCTTGCCTACACAGTAAATTGAAAGGAAGATTTTTCATCAAACTTGAAAATTTCTTCATATATTTGAACAAACTCAAATATCTTATTTTTTCACCCTTTAGACTATAAGCAACTCTGAAGAAATTTGGAGAGGATTTTTGCTCGAATGTCGTCTTCACGTCAGTGAAAATTGAGTTTAAACTCGAAACGAATCGGAAAATGCGGAGAAACGCATCTTTGGGAGTAAAAATGACCATCCAGAGCTAATCGATAAGTTGTGGCCGGCCATTGATCTAAGCTTTAGTGACAAATGCCGGTTATTCACACAAGTCCCCCGAGCAAACACAAAAGACAAGGTCATATGTCTCCTTTTCAGGAATTGTTAGTAACAAAGGTAGTATGCGTGACACTTTCCGAAGATATTACATGGGAGAAGAAAGAAAAAATATATACGGGGTCATCACATGTCATATGAGCAAGAAAAATAATACTGTAATAATAAGAAAGAGATCATTCCTGGAGACTTTGACCCCCGTATAGTGTATGTATCTCATCAAAGATAGCGAAAAAAGTTTAAGATTATATCTTCTTCTTATGTATTGTATCTTTAAAATATTTAAATAATGGATGAAAGCATTTTCTCAAATCAAAATCATGAACAACTTTTTTGCGTTGAAAAAATATAATTACTGAGATATTTTCTACTTTTGAACTGTCAGCATTCTTTACAGTCCTGAAAATACAACTATACCCAGCAAATAATTTTGACATTGCAAAATGCGTTGGGAGGGCATTCTCATGCCATTATGGCAAGACTGTTGTGAAAATATCATCTTGGTCTTTACTCAATGCCTTGCCCCATAACGTTAGCAGGGGGCGTTTTGAAACAGGCTTGGAACCAATTGCCAACAGGGTTGAAACTGTTGAGCCTGAGAGGCAATAAAAAAGGGCAATATTGCCTACCATTCAATTGCCATTGCCAAACACATTCCCAAGGTGATGCCAATGGCATTACCCCAATGTCTGACAGCCCTAAAAATATTTTTTTCAATTCCCCATTCCCTTGCTGCTATTCACTTCTTCAGATTGTTTCATTTTTTCAGCAATCCATAAAAAAAAGTCTGTGAAGAATTAGAAGAAAAATCTTGACATATTCAGGGTCACTAATTTGGAAACACCGTCCTTACACATTTGAATTGCAAGAAAAATCAATGACAGATAAAATACTACCAACATGAAGGAATCATTGCATACATAAGTGCAGATTTTTTCCTTTGTTTCTGAAAACATAAAACATTTACAGACAGCTGAAAATAGTTGAAGGAAGTGCAGTACTTTTCGTCAAGGGGTCAGTCATGCATATTTTAACAGCAGGGCATGAGGGGAGACATGTTTTGGAACCGGCGCGCGATGATTAGAATGGATCAATGCTTTTCCTTGGATATATTTCGCGTACTTGACCTTCACAAAATACAATAGCTTAAATTCCTCTCCGTACTTCTGGAAAAAGACACCGATGAAACTAGAATGAAATACTGTATGAACCCACAATCGGGGCCTTTATCAGATTCGATAAACTAATTAAACTTTACTTTTTTTAAACTGTCTTCTAAAATGGCTTAATTTTCTTCTATTATTCCAATTAAAATCCAGAAATCACGGGAAATATATTGGTTCCAGCAGGGTGCAAAAACAATACCCAACTAAACAATATAACCCGATAGTATACTGCACCCTTTTGACAAGCTTCGGGCATTCGAAAACTCGCTTATTCATGTGAAACTTTTCACAGGTATTCACCGATATTCAAATTTTCAACTCACCTTGCAACTGAGATCATTCTCACGCCTGTTCATCGGCCGACACCGAACGATTACTTTTACTGCTTCGCCCATCTTTATTTTTCCTGCAGATAAAAAATAAAGAATGTCACGAACAGAAAAGCGTTTTAATCTAAATTAATCCTCAAAATCCGCCACTTTTGCCCGTACACAAAATAGTCGAAAAAAAAGAAACGATAAATTGTCATCATAACTCACCTTTCTTTGCAGTTGAAGAAGAAATGTTCAAAAATCGTTCCTACTTTAAATTATTGATCCGGTTTAGCACTAGTAACGAACTCCGCCCGAAGTCACGGGTAAAAGCACCATAGCCACCGCTTTTGGTCGCGTTTCGTCGAATCCGACGCAATGCGCTGAATCACAACTGGTCATCATCCTGCCATTTTTTTTTATTGTAGGGAAATAATTTTACCAGGTCAATTTCATCACCAAAAAAATGATCATTCTTATCAGAAAAAAATCTGCTCCTATAAATAAATAAATAAAAATCCATGAAACCTCACCTGACAGAGCTTGAACTTGAGTCAAGATTAAAATCTAATAATGCATCTCCGTATCTGCCTTCTAGTCGTATCACAATAAAATTAAGATTCAGGAAGACTTGTAAAACTTAAATTGTAATGAATAATTGTATTGGTACCGGAATTAATGGTCATTCATTGATGCATCTTCTCGAAATTGCTTGCACGACATCACCTGATACATGAATCAATGAGCAAACAGATTACTTTTCAGTCAGCATCAATTTTTTTTTTTACAAAAGAAAATGCTTTTGGACCCGGAACTGTTGTCGCGAATTTTTTAGTCCTATTTTTAGAAAAGCCAGATTGAGAACCCAAATTCTCGTCCTTGAGGACAAATTCCACTTTCCGTGAGAACCTCGGGAAACCTCGGTTCTCACATAACTTATGGAAGCCTCCAAGGCTGCATTTCTCTGCTAATCCTACTTTCTCGTCCTTGTAGGACTGTTTTCCTGTTCTCCAAAATAACAATAATCATTACAGTCCTGTTTCTGCTTCTTGAGCGTGCGGTTCATCCAAGACTTCGCGAGCGATTTCATTGAGTGTCAATCTTTGCTTTCTACGAATATATCAACGTTATAATAGGGTGTTCTCACCCCGGTCGTAGCCCGACCGAATTCCTGAGTTTCATTCAAACTTCCATCCTCAAATTCTCTTTCAAATAAGGTTCACTACTCAAATCTTCATTTGTTGGGTTTATTCCTGACATTGTCCTCCAAAAGCAATTTCCTGAAATATGTGAAATTCCTCAAGGATAAGCTTTATCCCTTTCATCTTGAAGTTTACCTGGTCAAGTTCTGATCAATATATCAGTAGAATAAGTTTGGAATCTACAGCCTTTGTGTGCAGACTTCAGAAGAGTCAGCAAGCATACTTTGTACAGTTGAACCTTGCTAAGTTGAACCTCCCTACATTAAATACCTCCCTAACTCAATTCATTTGAGGTCCCTGTCTGAATTTTCTATAGAAACAATGCATTGAAAACCTTGCTGACTCAGAGTATTTTTCTTTCAAACCTTCATCTGTTATGAATTTTCTGAAGCTATTTGGTTGTTATTTCATGGAAAAATGAAAGAGAAAATCAATAAATTAAAGGTTTTATGCATCTTGAAATGAAGTGAAAGGCTAATTGATCAAATGAACCCCTGCCTCCAAGTTCGTCAGTAAGCTGTAAACTCATTAAGAAGCAAAAGTTTAGGCCTAGAATATCCTCATCTAGGATGTCTCACAATTTTTTTTACTTTTCCTTGCACAACAAATGTGTGTTTCCTTTGCTCAAAACCTCAAAAAACCAAAATCTCCCTGAATTGCAATTTTTCCTGGTTCCTAGAAATTTGACTTGGAGAAGTTCAACTGTACAAAAAGATTCCAATTGCTATTGTGTTTGATTATATGCACTTGCACTGCAAATATATGGTGAAATAATCATTTTCAAGCAAATTGAAATAGAACACGGCTATAATAATAGGGCTTGCTTATGAACTTGTACTGAAAATATCTGGTGAAATAATCCTTGTCAAACCATTTATTGAAATAAAACACAGATATAATAGGGCTTTGCCACAGCTGCAGCCTGGCTGATCAAATTTTTCATTCATAATTGTAAAGATTTTGAGTCACTGAGTCTCTTCTCAAGAAAGTATTCCTGATAACATGAACAACCAAGTTCAATTCTTACTACTTTGCATACTTTCAAAACATTGCTTCCCATCAAAATTTCACGTAATAACTTAAAATCTGTGCTTATATCAGATATAAAGTTTCAAGGCTCCAATAAGAGCATATAGAAACACTCATATCTTGATTTAATCAGCGGATAAAAAGCGTGTGAAAGGGATCATGAAGTAAAATTATTTCTGAAATCATCTACTTTAAAATGGAAAATCATCTTGAAAATCACGGGATTAAAAACGCTTCAAGCGCATTTTCAGAAACTTTCGTCCTATTTAAAATGTCCTAGGGCTAAATGTCTGTGCTTCAGTATAGCAATTCAGCTATCAAATGAATACCGTCATGACCCACCACATGCACAAGAGTGATTCATGAAACACTTTCCAAGAAATTGTGCTGACCATCAAATTTTTTCATAATGATACAGTTCAGCTCAAAAAACGTTGGAAATAGCGATAAAATTATACATTTGGGGGAAAATTCCGAAGTACTTCTGAGAAAAATCAAGGCTTTAAAAAGATGTTTTGTCCAAGATATTCGGAAATTTCCCCAGTGATTCTAATTTTTACAGTTTTTTATTGGCATTGTGTTCACAAAATGAATTTGCAAACGGAAATTCAATTTTTATTTTATTTCGAAGAAGGATTTAAATGTCTATTTTCTGAAAGAATTGTGCGACATATTTTCGACAAATTGAGTCGCACCGGAATCCGTAAATTAATCTTGCGGTAAATAATTTTTCGATTCTACTTTTTTTTCCAGTTTTATATTGATGACATTGCTCTTATATCGACAGGATGAACTTGCAAAAGGACTTTCAAGATTCAATTTAAAAAATGTATTTGAAACTTTCCTCCTGAAATAACTGACAATTTTTTTAAAATTGAGTTGCACTGGAATCCATTAATTAATCTTGCGGTAAGTACTTCTCCGATTCTACTTTATTTTCCAATTTTATATTAATGACATTACTTTTCACAGAAGGAATTTGCAAAAGGATATTAAAGATTCAATGTCAAAAAGCGATTCGTATTTTTTCTCCTGAAATAACTGTGTGAGCATTTTTCGAGAAAATTGAGTCGTACTGGAATCCATGAAATAATCTTGCGATATATTTCTATCCAGTTTTATTTTGACACAGCTTTTCACAGGATGAATTTGCTAATGGACAAAGATTACATTTTGAAAAAGGCTTTGTCTCTCTCTGCCTGTGGAAATAATTGTGTGACACATTTTTCAAAAAATTGAGTCGGACTGGAATCCACGAATAATTACGTTTTTGCCAGTACCAATGATATCTCAGCATTAGCAGGGAAAAACTTTTGCATTCATCCCAGAAACGAATGAAACACAAAGGAAGAACTGATAAGTTCTTTATGTTTTTCTTTTCATTCATGTTGTAGAGATCATTCAAGTGAAAAAGGATCATGATTCTACCAGAGATAATCCGGGGATTTATTCAAGGCGTGGGAAGAGCAGCAATAACAAGCCTATTGAGAACCACGTTTCCTTCATATCATCTCAACGAATACTTATGCAATAACTTCCTCAACGGAAAAAAAGAAACAAGCACAGGATTCAGACGTCAAACAATGGCGAAACCTATAATTTCCGTTAAAAAAAAAAAACATTGAATAGACTTCAGTTACCTTTATAAAAATCATTTCTTTGAATTGTTCTCAAGCAGCGTTTATAAAGTGAAACGTTTCATACAGTATTTACTTGAGTACCACATGCCCTCAAGTTAGGTGCGCACAGGGGTTTTTCAGTTGGAAATTTGGCTAAAATCTTATCCCCAAGTAAGATGTACACCCAAATTTTTAGTGAATCTAAAACCACAAAGTTTTGAAAGTAATAATACAAAAAATTGACTTTAGACATGACTTGAACAAAAATCTGATCAATTTTCAACTTTTTCAGTAAAAAAAAGTTTTCTTGATACATATTTTCCAAATTTCTCTTTTATAATCAAGTATAATACACACATAACTTCCAAAAACTTCTTGAAAAATTTGTACCCGCTTATGACACACACCCCTTTCTTTCTTCTGAAATCTGAGAAGAAAGGTGTGCATGGTACTTGAGTAAATATATGGTATTCAAAAGGCATTTATTACTGAATAGATACAGAAAACGGAAATTTTTTCAGTTGATGGAAGTTGAAATGAGAATGGCATTATTAGTCAGAAAACAAAGTGAAAGTAAGCCATCTAAAATTATGCATCACATTAATGCCAGTTCCCATTGCACCTGTTTTTTGGAAATTGTGGTGGATGCATAAAAATATGAAAATTAACTGGCGTTTCCAAAGTTACTGTAGTCCCAATTGAAACAAGGAATAGCAATGTCTGTTTGTATGGTGCCATTACTAATAATTCAATGCTCCAAGTTATTTTTTGATTGTGAGCTTGTTTTGTTACAAATTTGTATGTAAAATAAAACTTCAAACTGATGTTTGGAATGCATCAGATGGTATGATTGGGTGTTCTTCAAATTTTTCTTTATAGGATAACTGAATTTTTAAAAATCAGTTTTCACTGATTACCTCTTGCGTATAGCAAAGTCAAGATATTTTTGCAAAATTGCGTGCCATTGAGTGCTAGAAATTCAAAAAATCCTACTTTTGTACCAAGGCCCAAGTGGGGGAAAAGTCTGATATTTATTTCTAATCCCTCAGAAAAATTTAATGAAAAAAAATCCTTCACTTGGTGGTGTTTCTTCCTTCATTCCTGGAATAGAATATGCATGGGGAAGATCCTGAAAGCAACAGAAAATTTTCCACCCAGATTCTTCCCAACTTTGTTCATCTCAACCTGGGAGCAT